CAGGATCTCAACATTTTACTAAATCTGAGAAACAGAAACAGTCACTACCAGACACCGTAAAACTTTTCTCCCTTACACACGATTCCTTAGTATAGTATGATCACTGTCTCCCTGTTCTGCAGACGGGCAATGCCAGCACCCCTGAAGTTCTGACATTCTGCGTTTCAATGTCGGGTCCAGTAAAGACATGAAATACATAATTTTGTGAAAGTGGCATTATGGCTTCCTTCTCCTCTGTTTGTAAACACAGGATCGTTTTCCAGGGAGAGGAGAGAAGAAGGTCGCTTCTGCTTGATTTTCACATTTGTAATTTTAATACACTTTTTTTTTAAAAAAAAATCCAAGTTATAGAAAAACACGAAGACAGAAGAAATAAATTAGAAGATGATTGTTCACATTGTAAAGGGATTTTGAATTCCCCTAGGGCACTGAATTTGGGGTTTGGTTTAAACACAGCTTTTCAGGAATACATTTCTTGGGTAAACTGAGGTACGCCGAAGTATTCCTTTTCACTATCCTTGGAGGACAATCCAGCATCTCGTTTTCACACACAGGGCAGGAGAACAAACAGTACTTGTTTAGAGTCAATGGCTTTTTCGAAGCCCTCACCTTTCCCATGAGTGGAGGTTTTGAGGGATCCAACCAACAAAGAAAGTGACCCACTACACCATAGTCCTTAGACCCAGAACAAGGCTCATTTCTGAAATCAAGTTTGCTTTACCTCAGCCCAGGGAAATGTGAGGTGGGGCGAAGTGTGGATGAGACCTGGAGGCTGGCACTGGCCACAAAGGTGGCCTGTGGAAGGTGTGGAAAAACAGGAGAAAACCTACCTATTTCTTCTCCTCTGCCCTAGCTACTAGGTATGGGCCAGCCTTCTTCATCCCTGAACACTGATGATGACCAACAGCAAAGGGAGGCCAACTGCAGTAGTTGTGCAAAAAACATAATAGGGATCCTTCCCACCCTCTCTCTGCGCCGAGTATTTGGCAAATCACCTTTGTACCGTAAAGCAAAATTAGGTGTTTGGAGAACTCAGTCCCATGATTCTGCAGTCAAGAAGATGCATAGTTAAGGCTAAAAAAGCTGAGGGCTTGGACTCCCTGGGTCACCGCTCAAACCAGTGAGCCAAGTTGGGGATAAAAAGCTGAGGGCTTGGACTCCCTGGGTCACAGCTCAAACCAGTGGGCCAAGTTGGGGAGGCTCTTGGGTTGGTTCCCAGCCATCTGCACAGCCTGGCAGACCCGGCACCAGGGCTCGTCCCAGAAGGAGGTGATGTGCACGGCATATCTCCGGCGCCAGTGGAAGTAGCTGCCATAGGCGGTTGGGTTGCGGTCTAGGAAGAGCAGGTAGGTGGCTAGGGCCGAGGCATTGGGAAAGTCGTCCACGTGGATAAAGGCACCGCGCGGCAAAAAGCGCTCATAGTTGGCACGGTCTGGGCCCAGCACCACCGGCACGGCCCCAGCGAGCAACGCATTGCGCCAGAGCTTCTCGGTGATATAATCTTGGTGCTGCGAGTTCTCAAAAGCTAGGTAGAACTTGTAGCGGGCCACTGTGCTCAGGATCCCACTGTTGGGCACCACCCGCCCAGGGCCGCCCCGGCCGAACACGTCCACCTGCACGTGCTGGCTCAGTTGGCGGTAGTACCGGACCCGGGCCTGGCGTTCGTCCCAGTTGCTCACCACCCAGGCCACCAGCCCCCGTTTCTGGGCCATTGGTGGGGCCAGGCCTGGCGGCTGGTCGCTAGGGTGGTTCCTGGGGTAGAGGTAGCCATAAGGCACGAAGATGTCCGAGTCGGCCCGGTAGGAGAGCGTCCAGTTGAAGAGATTATCCGCCAGGTTTCGCAATCCTGGGGAGTGGGAGGGCGACTCGAAGTTCATCCACACCCAGCGCTGGCCTGGGGGTCTGGAGTTCCAGGTCTTCAGGGCTGCAGCCGCCGCCGCGGCTTCCTCCTCACCGTCTAATACGCGCAGCTCCAGTTCTTTTGCAGCGCGCGCCTGGACGTCCCAGAGCGGGGGCCAGTCGGAAGGTCCCTTCACCAGGTC